CTTCCTTGTTTTCTGCAGCTTCCACTCCACAGACGGTGCCTGCAGCTCTCCCCACCACCCAGTGCCCTTTTATGGAGTCTCAGCGCCAAACTGGCCAGAGCTCCTTTGTGCAAGTGGCTAAACCTGAGGTCCAGGAGGATGTCCAGCCTTCCAAGTCAGGTAAAGAATGAGACCTGCATCATTGAGGTAATGAAGGGAAGGGAGAAACATCCCCTCCATCTTCCCACCATTGCTGACCTCCCTGCCCTTCTCTGTAGGTGTGCTGACCTCTCTTCTCAGAGAAGTTCACTCCAGCCTCAGGAGGAAGTTCTTTGACTCTGAGATGGTGACACACTTCATTCGGGACAACATGACAGGTCAGTGGTGGTGGTGAATCCCAGAAGCTGCTCCAGCACAGGGAGCCTTGTATAGATATCACACACGCCCCCCAACTGTTACTCTGTGCCAGGTGTGCATGTGTACCAGCTGAGGGCTCTGAGCGTCTCCTCACTAACAAACAAATGAAGGTGAAATGGCCTGTTTTCAAACAGGCTTCATTCACTCCTTTTGGCTGTCAGCCATGTTCCTCAACTAGCTCTCTATGATCTCCTGACAGGGTGCAATGCATTTGATTATGATGAATTCTTTGGGGCAAAGATTCAGGCCAAGAAGCAAGATCATACATATCGGGTCTTCAAGACAGTCAATCGCCGGGCTGATGCCTATCCTTTTGCCGAGGACTATTCAGCTTCCATGGTCGAATCACGAGAGGTGTCTGTCTGGTGCAGCAATGACTACCTGGGAATGAGTCGGCACCCTCAAGTGTTGCAGGCCATCCAGTAAGTGGTAATGCCTCTTGGCCCCTCCTCCATGCTCCTTCTTCTCCACCTCTTGCACATGAAAAATCTGGACTGCAGCCTAATGTCGTTTCTCTTGGAACATCACCTGGACCATCCCAAGACAATCTGTTGCCTGATTTGGAACAGAACATAAAGTCAACATGCATAATACTTGAAGCTAACCAAATTACTTTGGTCTAAAAAAAATCCCACAAGTCTCTTTTTTCCTCTTTCCTTGAAAACAAAAACACAAATTTAGCAGCCAGCCATTTGCCTCCCTGCTATGACAACCAAAATCTATTTCCTGAAGCAGACATCTCGGCCTGTGTATCTGTAAGGGCTGTCACCAAATGTCAGAAATTTCCTTTTAGCCTTACCTTGAAGATAATTCAAGATATAGTAATGGCTCTGAGGGACCATTGTGTTGCCACGAAAGCAGCTCTACCATCACCACCAAAACCCAAACCTTCATCTGTTCATCCCCTCACTTTTTGGCGGGAGGCAGAGAATACAGTAGTGCAATCCCTTCTCTTGGGAAAGGGAAATTTAAAGAAATGAAAACAAATTGCTCCTTCTGGCATGAACTGTTTCCCAGTATTGCTTCTTGCTCGGGTCCTCTAAGAGCACACGACTGTCACGGCAGCCTCCAGACCCCAGCAGGCCCCACTGTGGACATCTACTTTGGCGTCTTATAATAAATGAACTCTCCCACCATGCCCTGGGGAGACAATACCCAAAGCACTGTGGGGAGTTCATACCAACATAGAGCTGGAATCTAATAATTATTGTTATTATATCTTTATCCAAAAATACCAGGCACCGTTAATCAAAATTATGAAAACACCAACTGTTATTATATAACAGATACAAATTTTAACCAAAAATCTAATTGAAAAATCATGCTAGGGCTTATTTTCAGGTTAGGTCTTATTTTCGGGGAAACAGGGTATCATTGGTGCAGTTAGTGTTGCTGCTGCTGTTGTCCTTGCAATTCCAGGGGATGCCAGATAAAGAATTGGAAAAACTAACAAAATACAGGGATCTGGCAATCAAAACATCTCACTTGTGGATGAAACAAATGTCAGTGGTCCCCATAGTCATTGGGGCATTGGGAACAATATTAGGAAGTGTTATAAGCAGTTGCAGATCTCAGAAATCACACCATCAGAGCTACAAAAAAAAAACAGCAATATTAGGAACAGCATAATACTATGTCAATATTTAACAGATACGTATGTAGTTTTTTTTGGTTAAAACCCATATATGTTATATGATACCAGTCAATGTTTTTATAATTTTGATTGTGCTTGGTATTTTTGAATAATAATATAATTAGGAACAGCATGCATACTGCACTGATATTTAACAGATACGTATGTAGTTTTTTTTGGTTAAAACCCATATATGTTATATGATACCAGTCAATGTTTTTATAATTTTCATTGACTGCGCCTGGCATAACAACAACAGCCATAATAATGATTGATTTTGCACTTTGCACAAGAATGTATTGCTGTAAAGGAAAAGAAAAAAATATACAAAATCTGCAAAAAAGTAACTTCAACAGCATTAATCTGCACATGTCTATGTACATCAAGGAACCCCATAGGTCATAGAGTCCAACCCTCTGCTGGAGCAGGACATCCACAGCTAAGTGACAAAGTGACTCTCAAATCCAACCGATTCAAGTACTGAAGCCCATTATCGAACCCCCTCCCTCACTGCTGCTGCTACCACCACCATCACCACCACCAGATAGGCCGAGTGAGTCCTGCTGATCTAGAAAAGTACAAGGTTGTAGTAAACAGTTTTCCCAGGTTTCTGAGACTCCCCCCCCCACACCATGTTAAAAAAAAATCTGACCAGAGAGAAGAAATGAATACTGTACTTATATATGTCATGGTTTTTTCACCAACCACACTTTTAAAAACCTTTGTCAGCCCACAGTTCTTTTTATCAGCTTATATAAGAGAATAAGCAACAAAACAGCTGTTTTAAAACGTAAGTCAACCATGAACGATTGCATAGCCTTAGCTGAGCAAGCTGCTTTTCTCTCCCTTTCTTATCCACAATTCAGAACAAAACGTTTCCCTCCATTCCAGCAGGACTTTTAAGACAGCTTAGGTTCTACTTGCTGCTTTTTATTGCAATGTGACTTTGCGTGGGTGGGTGTGGGTGTGCACGCGCACTAATTTTTGTTGTTCTGCTCCTCCATAACTACTCTTTTGCTATATGGCAGCCTAAAAATAGCATAAATCAGACCGAAGAAGTAGACTTGATCCACGAAAGCTCATATTAAACTATAGAAGCCAGTCTTTAAGGTGCCACAACATTTTTGTATCTTGTTTTGTTTTTTGTGTTTGGCGTGGGGTTTGTCCGATATGTTTGGAGACTGATTCTCATCCTTCTCTTTCTCCACCTTCCTCCTCAGGGAAACACTGCAGGCTTATGGGGCAGGAGCTGGAGGCACCAGGAACATCTCTGGCACCAGCAAGTTCCATGTGGATCTGGAGCAAGAGCTGGCCAGTTTGCACGGCAAAGACGCCGCCTTGCTCTTCTCTTCTTGCTTCGTAGCCAACGACTCCACCCTCTTCACTTTGGCCCGCATGATGCCAGGTGAGGATGCTAACTTAGGCCACAGGGTCAGCCTATGAGGTAAGGCTTCCATCTATCCTAGCTACAGGATGAGCTGAGGCTAAGCATGATTATCGTGATGCTCCTTTCTCTCCCACAGGATGTGAGATCTATTCAGATGCTGGGAATCATGCCTCCATGATCCAGGGCATCCGTAACAGTGGGGTTCCAAAGTATGTCTTCCGCCATAATGATCCCAAACACCTGGAGGAACTCCTGAGCAAGGCGAAACCCGCCACCCCAAAGATCGTTGCTTTTGAGACTGTGCACTCCATGGATGGTAAATGTCACCCCTTGTGCCTTGATGTGTTCTGTCCTCATCCACCAGGCCGGCCCCACCATTAAACCAGACACAGAGTGTCTCCAGACCATGGGCCAATTTTGGCCTACCACTATGTCGGCCTATCTACCTCTACTGCAAGCCTTCTCCTATTCTCTGAAGCCTCATCAACTCAAAAGGAAGAGGGAGCAGTAGAACACGTGAGCAGAACCCATTGTTCAGTGAAGAGGCTGGCATGGGGTTATACGCAACAAGAAGGGTACAGTGAATTGCACATTGTTAATGGTTAAGGGACAGGCTTCAGGGAGGTGCCCAGGCCCTGACATCATCCAGACAGCTAGAATGCTCCTAAGGATCAGTCCTGTTCCTTATTATCTACAGTAGGCAGTGTATGGTTGCACCACATGTGGCAGAAGATGGGGAAACAGTGGATGCTGGATGTTTCCTCCTGTTGGAGGACACAATGATGTCCTCAGCCTTAGCCTTTCCATACATTTTGAACACTGACTGCCAGAAGCCTCAGCCAGCCAGCTAGTGTAGCCCACAAAGGCCAACAATCATTGCTCTATGTGGTCTGGTCTATCCTAGCCCTGTCCCACCCCATCACAAGCAAGAATGCTCCCTCAGGTGAAATGGAGGACGCGACCCTATTGCCAACATTGAAGTAAGATGTAAACCCGATCAGCTTCTGTTTGCCTTAGTCAGCAAAAGGTCTTGCACCAGCTCTTCTTATCCCATTGCGCAATCCCATTCTGCCTCAGGGATTGCGATCCCTGCTGTGGTGAGTCTCTCGGCTGCAGCACCAGCAAAGCAAAGGTGCTTTCCCTTCCCGAGTCAATTCATGATTTTGCTGTTAAATTGGAACAGTAAACAAGAGGTGAAGGAACTTCATGGGCAGAGTGGAGCTCAAGGGCAGCATGGGAGGGTGAGGAAGGAGATGAACACATCAGGTGAGCCACAGGTGGGACGTGAGCCGCCCTGAGTCATGGTGGCTTGTGGGGTGGGCAAGGCCCACAGTGAGGCTCACAGAAGAGAGTTTGAGGATCCCCTGAGACACAGAGAAGGCCAGCAGGGCACAACAGGGCCATCCCAGCAGGAATTTGGGACAGAGGTCCAGGCCCTCCACGGAAGAGAGTGAACAAATGAAGCAGGGCCAGCTTCCTACCTTTTGAAATAAAGTTATCCCTATTGTCCCCCTAAAGCGCAAGTGGGACAGAAGACTATTCATCCTAATAGCCTAATTGTTCTGATAAGGAGGAAAAAGGATGCCAGGAGGAATGAAGTCTCACCAGGGCCTGGAAAGCCACAAGATCAGGTGGGACCTTTGGCCATGGATATAGTGCAAGATGATGGAAAGGTAGCCAAGAGAACGGCCTGTTCTTATTCCCACTGAGGAGCCCAAAACTTCCAGAAAACTTCCTTACCTCTTGACCAAAATGGAGAGCTCAGATCTTCAAGTCCTGACCCAGCAGAACATCTCTTCTTTTCCACTTGCAATCCAGAGAACAACCAGCAAGGTTCAAGTGTTGTTCCTCATAAAGCCTTTCCTCCTCGCTTTCTCTCTCTCACTCTCTACAGGGGCCATCTGCCCGCTGGAAGAAATGTGTGATGTGGCACACCGGTATGGAGCCATCACTTTTGTGGACGAGGTCCATGCTGTAGGGCTGTACGGTGCCCACGGCGCTGGCATTGGCGAACGCGACGGAGTGATGGGCAAAATAGACGTCGTCTCTGGCACCCTGGGTGAGTCTGGGAGAAGCCAAGGCCCACAGAAGAACAGGAAGGGGCGACTGCAAATCACAGGAAAATTTCTTGTTTTCTTTTCTTCCCCATCTCTTGCAGGAAAGGCCTTTGGCTGTGTGGGTGGTTATGTGGCCAGCACTGCTTCCCTGATTGACACCGTGCGCTCCTACGCCGCAGGATTCATCTTCACTACCTCCCTGCCTCCGATGGTGTTGGCCGGAGCCTTGGAATCAGTCCGGATCCTGAAGAGCTCTGAAGGGCAGGTGCTGCGCCGGACCCATCAGCGCAACGTCAAGCACATGCGCCAGCTGCTTATGGATGCTGGGCTGCCAGTGATCAGCTGCCCCAGCCACATCATTCCCATACGGGTAGGAATAACCAGGGTGCTCAACAAGGTCTCTGCAATTTAGGATGGAAACTAAGGAGACAACAGTTGTTTACCGTACAATGGAAAGGATCTCAGTTCAATCACACTTTCCTAGAGGTTGACAAGTCTCAAGTTAACCATGACTTTGATTAGACTCATTTTAAGTATCATGAAATCTGGATCCAACTGTGCAGCAATAAAGCCTTGTAGTCAAACTATGTGTTAAGAAGAGTGCACATCTCTGTAATTAACCTAGTTTGCTCTCCCAGAGATTGAGATTTTTCTGGCAGTCTTGCAAATTGAGCCTGCATTTTCCCCTCCAATGACCAATTCACAAATAAATCTTGCCAAGTGCAGCTAAATGGGTAAAATGAGATACTATGACAAACCTATGTTTTTCACAACTTGAGGGAGCACCTCTGCAAAAATTGTGCTAAACATATCATCTAGTTTGACCTTGGAACACAAGGGGCCAAAGGGAAGGACTTGAATTGATTATACTGGGAAACAGTAACAAAAATGTTGGTGATTTGACATTATCATTTGTGGCTCTTTGCAAAACTGTAAAAGGAAATTCAGCACACTTTGGCTTCTCTTCCATTTAAATCAACAGGACCTAACGATGCCCAGCTTTGGCCAGATCATACCCAGTATTTGTAAGGGGCTGACCAAGGTGCCTTCCTCCAGTTTCTGCTGGATCACAACTTCCATGATCGCTCACCATGGGTTATAATGGATAAGTCTGATGGAAGTTGCTGTCCAACCATATCTGCAAGGCTGTATTTTGCCAGAAGCGCTCTTTAGAAGTAAAACAAAGGTTTGGAACCATGAAGCCAGACAGCAAATGTCCAAAATCTCCTTCTCAGTACAATATGTTTTTTTTTTCCCCTCCTCAGGTTGGAGATGCTGCCCTGAATACCCATCTCTGTGACCTGCTTCTCTCCAAGTATAACATCTATGTCCAAGCCATCAATTACCCTACTGTGCCTCGGGGAGAGGAGCTGCTGAGGCTGGCTCCCTCACCCCACCACACCCCGCCAATGATGGACTACTTTGTAGGTGAGTCACTAGCACTGTGCACAGAAAAGTTACACACTTTTACAAACTGAAGCATAGACTGCAATGTACTTCTGTCATTATAATGATGACTAAGCCAAATATTGAAACTCCTGTTTCTCCCACAAATGTCACATCAAAACAATTGTAAAGGGAACGGCACCATTCTGTGACTAAATTTTCAGCACCTTGTGAAAAACGGAGTAGTTAACAGGAGATATTACTTAGCTTATTTTTCTGTGTATAAAACAACACTTTTTCCTAAAATAATTAAAGGAAAAATTGAGGGTTGTTTTATATACAGAAGTAAGGAAGGGGGGAGGGATCAAAGCACTTTGATCCCTGCTTTCCCACTCCGTGTTTTGCAAAGGAAATGGAGAGGGAAAACCGCTTTTTGCAACGGAAGTGTAGGGGGAAAGCAGGAATCACTTTCCTCCTCCATTTTCTTGCAAAGAAAGAAATTTTAGGTTTGAAAAATGGTGAGCGTCTTATACACAGAAAAATATGGTAATTCATAGGAAGATTCACATATGAAAGAATTAGAAAAGTTCCTTGAGCATAAGGATGTACCACTGGAAATCAAGGCCAAGAGCATCCATACCATGGTATTCCCTGTTAGGGTGTGTGGATGTAAAACCTGAATAACGAAGAAAGTTGACAGGGGGGAAAAATAGATGCAGTTGAAACAGAGAGAGCCTAAGGAGATGGCAGCGTGTTCTCTTCCATGAGCTTCCTCATAGCTTTGTGGGCACTGTGGACCACCCAAAAGACTCATAAATGGGTTCTAGATCAAATTAAGCTGGAACTCTCATGAACAGCTGCAGTTACTAACTGAAGCTATAGCACTTTTGACATAATAAATCATAACACAGGATGCAACTATACTACAATTTATCCCCAGGTTGTGCCACAGTTTGCATGGTTTTTTGGGGAGGGGATATTTTTGTAGAAATTCTACTTGCACTGCCTTTTTCACACTTTCTAGTATGTGTGATCACCTACACACATGTAAAAAGACAGCAGTAGGGATGTCCTAGAATGACATTGACAGTGGGGTGCATTTAAAAAAATGCAAGTGACAATATATATAGCAGTTTGTATTGTAGTGCTTATCTAGCATAATAAAAACTTGTTTGGAGGAGAGAGGAAAAGTGCATATTTGAGGAGAATGTTTCAGTTGTACAGGCACACACTTCAGTAGAGCTTGGCATTCCAGTGCGGTGGAAACATTCCTCAAGAGAGTTAACTGTTAATGACAGGATATTTCAGAGGTTATTCATTCATAGGATCACCATGCGTTGGAATGTAGTGCTAAGCCACAGGTTTAAGGAATTTAAAAAACCCGGTACAGCACTCTCTAGATATTTTGGAGTATAGTTCCCATTATGTCTGTCTATGGTGGCAAAGCCTGACGTAGCCAAAGCAACTGAAGGGCTGAAAGTTCTCCAGCTGAATTTTGTTCAGACATCCTTTCTTATTTATTTATTTGTTTATTTATTTGTTTATTTGTTTGTTTGTTTGCTTATTACATTTATAGCCCGCCCATCTAGTCATATAGACCAGTGGTTCTTAACCTTTGTTACTCAGATGTTTTTGAACTGCAACTCCCAGGAACCCCAGTCAGCACAGTTGGTGGTGAAGGCTTCTGGGAGTTGCAGTCCAAAAACACCTGAGTAATCCAAGGTTAAGAACCAGTGATATAGACTACTCTCAGCGGCTAACAACACATCATATGACAATTTAAAATCATAACAATATATTACTAAGTAAACAATGATCCGAGATGAAAGAAAGGAACAAGATACAAAAATTCAGATGGTGGATGGAGGGAAGGTTTGCTTAAACAGCCAAGTTTTCAATTGGCATTTAAAATACCCAATGAAGAGGCCATGCAAATCTCAGGAGGGAAGCTGTTCCAAAGACGAGGAGCCACTGCTGAGAAGGCCTGGTTTCTTGTATTTTCTTTCCGGGCCTCCCTCAGCATTAGGCTCCTCATCCTCACCTCCTAGCTAGATCGGGTGATACGGGTAGATCTAGGTGGGAGAAGGCGTTCTGTCAGGTAACGAGGCCCTAAACCATTTAGGGCTTTATACGTAAGCATCAAGACTTTGAAATCTATGTAGAACCGAGCGAGCAGCCAATGCAAGGCGGCCAGAGTGGGAGTAATATGTTGATGTTTCCTTACCTCACTGAGAAGTTTGGCCGCCGCATTCTGCACGCATCGATCTTAGAGGCAGCCCCATGTAGAGAGCATTACAATGGTCTAATCTCGAGATTACGAGCACATGGACCAAAGTGGTGAGCGACCCAACATCTAGATAGGGACACAGCTGGGCTATCTGCCAGAGATGGAAATAAGCGGTGCAGACCACTGACACTACCTGGGATTCCATGGCAAGCGCCTGTTCCAGATAGACCCCCAAACTGCGCCCTTCACTCTTCGCTGTGAGAGTCACCCTCCCCAAAGGAGAGGGAGTTTCCCAAACTGCTGATGGTAGGCCCACCCACCCTAAGGACCTCCGTCTTGTCCGGGTTCTGCCTCAGCCCATTTTCCTGCATCCATTGCAATACAGACCCCAGGCAAATCATTCAGTTATGCCCAGCAATGATATATTGTGGCTGTTTGTAGATGTTAAGGATGTGGTTGTGGGCTACTAACTCCTGCGGATTTTATTGCCTGCATTTTCTCAACTTTAAGGAGCAAGCTAACAAATTTCTCCCCAATTTCCCTTTCTTTTCAAATAAAAGCTGCAACTTTGGAGATGCAGTATCTTTTCCCATATTCTTGGGGGGAAATGGCAGTACAATAGGACTCCCTTATCTGCAGGATCAGTCTTTGCTGCTTCTCTTATCCACTGCGTGAAAATATTAAAAGAAAAATCCCCCAGATATATATTTTAACAATGAAGCCACCAGAAGTGGCCACTAAAGGGAGCCAGAGACTATGCCATGTATAGCTTTTTCTATTATTATAGTTTTTGCAATAATCTGAATTTTTCAGCATCCATGGGGGGGCTTGGAAATGGTCCCCTGCAGATACGGGGGCCCTACTGTATATCTGCGGTTCTACATATTGCCTCTAAGGAATTCTTGGAAAGGACATGGCTTCCTACAAGGCTGGTCTCAGCACTGCAAAGAACCTCTGGCTCCCTAGTGGTTTTGAACCAATTCCGAGAAGCCCTAGGCCAGCATAGCCAACGGTTAAGGAATTTTAGACCCAAAATATAAGAGCCAAAGGTTCCCCCTTCCCAATGTCAGGCTGAGGTTTGTGCCTCTCTTTGTGACCCAGATTTTGACATAATTGTTAACTCATCTCCAAAATGGCTGTTTGGACAGCTTAAGGAGCATGGTTATCAATTCCCCCGTTGTTCCTAGGGCCGAACGGTACCACCGACAATTGAGTTCAGCAGGGTGGAGGGGACAGTGAGCTAACCACAGGTGGAAAGAAAGTCCTTCAGGTGCCCTCCTAACCACTTCCTTCTGTTCCTCTCCAGAGAAGCTCCTGGCAGCCTGGCAAGAGGTGGGTCTGCCTCTACAGGCCCCGGCCTCCCCCGAGTGCAACTTCTGCCACCGCCCACTGCATTTCACTCTCATGAGCGAGTGGGAGCGGGATTACTTTGGCAACATGGGGCCTCAGTTCATCACACTTTCTGCTTGAGGAACGGCCTCCGTGAAGACAAGGGCCGACGCTCCTAACCTGACAGGAAAAAGAAGACAAGAGGATGTTGAAAGCACCAATGATGCGCTCAAGCCAAAAACAGGAAACCTATATGCAATAAAGCTCTGGAACTGTCTGTATCTTTTACTACCTTTAATTTTGTAGACTCCAATTGTTTGTAAGGGCACAGTTCCTCCAGACGGCAAACTCTTGCATGCCTACATGATGCACTAGCAGATGAGAAAAAATGAGGAAAGGAAACGAGGAAGCTCTTAGAAGAGAACAAGCTGGGTATTGGGGTATTCAAAAAACCAAAGTTCTGTGTGGGATCAGCAAACAATCAGACCTGGCAAGACTAAAGCACCAGGAACTGGCATCAGAAAGTCGGAGAAAGGGTAGCATTAGTTTTGTATTTGTTCCTAGAGTGTGAATGGACAGGAATTTATTTTTAACACCAAAACTGAGCTTGTGTTGCTTTTCCATTAATATTTCTTCCTTCCAGGAACCTTATAAAGAAGGGAGATAACACCACCCATTAAAAAAAAGTTATTAACTAACTGGAAGTCAGGAAAACCTCTGCTGATCTCCTACCAATCACTGAAGCACCACCCAGTAGATTCACATTTACCTTCTCTTCATACATGACCTCAGGTACGGAAGAGCACAAAGCTGCTATTACCACCAGTGGTCAGTAGAGAGCACTAGAAGACCCAATGAATAAATACTCCTAGAGGTACTGACCCAACAGTTGCAACCCAGGTAACACATGGCTGGAATCCACGTTCTCCCAGTATTATTCACCTGCAGAAGACCAAAATGCACCAAGGGCGGCACTGGAAAGCCAACTCTGCCAGTGTCCAGAGGAAGAGGTACTTACTTGAACGCTTGAGGCAGCTTGCACAGGTCTGATGGTTTGCTGATCCCACACAGAACAGAAGGGTAAGAAGCATCAAAACAAAATCTCTAGTTCTTGGAATCAGGGCACCGCCCTCTAACTCTTTCCCAGCGTTACCCACTAGCTTTCCAGAGAATACAAACCACCCATTCTTCCTCTCCTTACAGAGAAGACACTGGCAAAACCATTTTTATTCCAACTTCTTTATTTTATCAAAAGTAGAAAACATCCTTTCTTTTCCCCCCAAGGAGGTCATTTCCTAAGAAGGGCATTTTATTATTTTGAAAAGACAATAAAGTGCCGTGGGCATGGAAGAAGGATAAATGGCCACAGAAGACTGTGTTCAAGGGCCTTTCCACACACCCAATGCAAAAAGCAAATTGACTCACCCTATACTTAGGAAACATGGGGAAATCTAAAACCATTCATACAGCTGTTCAATGCAGATCAGAGTGAACTGTACAGACATCCCCAAGGCCCATGTTAACCCTAGCATCAAGAATTCTATAAAACCGTGGATTGATTCAAGTTTAAATGATCTTTCTTTCTCCTTCCAAGGCCTAAAGAACTTGCAAGTGCTATAACATGAGCTCTTAACGTGTCCTAGTGTCAGTGCAAGTTTCCACTGGCCCACCCCAAGAGGGACTCCACCACACTCATGACTAACCAGGAAAGGGAAGGCTAGGCTTCTCTTGGGTGATGAGCCACTGACACTCCCAACCATTAGCAAGCCAGAGTACTTTTTCCCCCCATTCAGGAATTGCCAAAGGTTCAATAGCCTCTTATTTCAGTTCCGCTTCCCATTCAAGGGTTCCCACGACTGGCCCACAGGAAGAAATCACAGCGTGTACGGGGGTCAGAGGGCTTCCCCAGAGGCCGTGCACAGACATAGAAGCGCCGCCCACAGTTTGGGCCCTGCTTCTTTACTGTCCGCAGAACACAGGGCTCCCCATGGACCTTACAGCACGGGGGCCGAGGAGGGCCTGAGAGCAGGGACTTCCACACGGCAGCTGATTGTTTAGGCTTGGCGGGGACCACTTCTTCCTCACAATACATCACTTCACCATTGGTCACACCCACAGTGGGCTCCGTTCTCAAACCCTCGGCAGGCGGGCGAGTTATAGCAGCAATGTCTTCCTCCCCAGAGTTCTTAACCACCCTTCCAGGAGTTTCAACAGAATGTTTTCCCCCAGTATCCTCTGCCTTCTGGATCATTTTGGATTTGTACCCAGGACTGTCCGTGTCTTCCGCCCTACCATTTCCCATTTTGAAGAAGCTCCTCAAATCCCCTTGCCCCTTCTGCAATGGGCCGGTCCGACTCTTCTTGGAACCCCCCACAGCACGTGGCTCAGCCCAGTCCCGTTTCTGCCCCTTCTCTGGCAGGCCAGTCCGTGGCACTTTCACAAGGAAGCGGCTAAGCTTCTGCTGGGTGCCTGCAAACTCAGGCAGGAAGCGGGTACAGAGGGGTGGGCAGCGGGGAGCAGGTAGGCAGGTACTCCTCAGTACTGCCTGCACAGGGCAGTGGTCAGAGCCCAACACTTCTGCTCTGACCTGCACCTCTACCAGCTCCGACAACGCCAGGGCACGATCAGCCAGAATGTAGTCGATGCGGGTGCCGTAGTTGAGCTGCCGGGACCCGGTCACATTGCACCAGCAAGTGTAGGCTTCTTCCTGATTGGGGTGCAGAAAGCGGAAAGTGTCCACAAACAGTTCCCTGTCTGCGGAATCCTTGCCCGGCTCCCACAGGAAATGGTCCAGCCAGCGGCGTCCGGGGTGCTCCTGAAAGGACTCCTGCAGGAGAAGGCAAAAGCATTAGGAATACACTACTGGATTACAATAATACACCTTGAAAGTACTTTCACATGCATTATACAACTGGGGGATCTTTCATTCTTCAGATGTTGGGGACTCCAGTTTCCAGAAGCCACCAAGACCAATGGTAAGAAAAGATATAGCCCAAAATTCCTGGAGGGCCAGGATGTAACATTTAGCCATGAACTTTTGGACTTAAAATTCTTCACATTGGTAAATGCCTGACAAAGCATATGGCCCTGATCCATGAAAGCTTGCAGACTATATGATCTTTTTTTTTTAGTAGTCTGTAAAGGCATTGCCTGTTCTGGCATTTGCAATTCATTATGATTACACATAAATTTCAGGAGATAGTAGCTTGCCCTGAGGCAAGACTGGGCAAACTCAGGGCTCAAAGCCCAACTTTATGCCTCCATTACCTATAAAAACAGAAGTCACTTATAAACCTCATGGATGAAGGGAAAACAAGGCAGGAGTTGTACCTTATTCTAAAAGAAAATGATCATTGGTTGTTGTGGGTTTTTTGGGCTCTTTGGCCATGTTCTGAAGGTTGTTCTTCCTAACGTTTCGCCAAGCCAACTACAACAGAGCACAGAGTGCTGGCCTCTGAAGATGCCAGCCACAGAGACTGGCGAAACGTTAGGAAGAACAACCTTCAGAACACGGCCTAAGAGCCTGAAAAACCCACAACAACCATTAGATCCTGGCCGTGAAAGCCTTTGCAAATACTTTAAAATGATCATTCTTCGAAGCTTTCAGGAATAGCAGTCTTTTTCAGAGGACATGTCCCAAAGGGTCATCTCTGAGGGATCCAAGGAAGTAATGCAAAAGTTTATTCCGCTCCTGCCCTAAGGGGACCTAGCAAGTTCATGGCAGTGGTGACATTCTTACTGGGGTCTTTGGAGTTATGCTTTTAGCCACGCCACAACAATGGCGTTTTTCTGTGTTTCCTCAGCTTATTCCACTGGATGCCTTTTTGCACAGAACCTAGAAGCTTCCAAAACAGACCTATGAAAGTATGAGGCAAAATTTCCTTCAGGAAGGACAAATTGCTACACTCTTCTGTTTCCTACCATCAATTTATCTTCACTATTATCTACTATAGGGGAAAAGAGAAGAATAAACATCTTCTTCACTGTTTAGATGTCTTTCCAGATTTTACAATCCTCATACACATCTACTATGTGTATTTGCAGTCTTCTGTCATGACGTGCCCACCCTCCTTGAGATGGGGAGGTATTGAATGCAATCGCAGTTCCATGCCCTGCGCAATACACAGGGGAGAAGGCCTCGTGGAAGTGGGCAGCTTGCTCACCAAATCTGCTGGATCACAGTGATCAATGCGTTTGTGTGCGGTATTGATGTCCCCCATGATGGCCACGTGGCTAGAAGAGGAAAGGAGGTTTTCATGAGTTCAGATAGGCAGGCAAATGGACATTTGTGCCTAAGGAGAGGAATTAAATCAAAGGCAACCTGTATATGAGTAACAACATTATAAACGGTAACTGAAAGGAGGAATTTTTACCTCAGGTAAAAGAAAGTCTACACTGAAACCTGTGGCCTAGTGTTGCATACTCCAAACACAGGTCATTTTGTGCACTGAATACGCAGCATCTCCATGTGCCTGTGGAGCAGGTGCCCCATCACTGTGCCACAGCTCCTTCCCAAAAGATGGCAGCAGGGCCTGCCCTCCTGGCAGCTCTCTCTGAGCCAAAGCCCCAAGCTTCATCATCTAAACCCTGTCTTTCCAGGAAGATCCTTCCTGATCCAAAACACCCACAGCAGTGAATATCATCCCAAAGCTACCAACGCAAAACTAGTCCCAACCACTGAAGGTTCAAAAATGGATTTTAAAGAGAGGAATCAACATTGTCTCCAATATGTAGGAGGTGAGAAAGAAACAAAGTACTGCCTCAAGCCAGATGAGGACTTCATTTAAAAAAAAAACTTCCCTGACTTCAAACTCAGTCGCTTGAACAATGCCATCTTAAGCACTCTTACTACAGGGCAAGCTCACAGAGGGTTATTATAGATGAGTAAACATGTAAAGGATTAAACTAGACATGGAACAGTGTGGAGCATACACATACCCTCCAGCTTTAAGAATAGCCTCTGCTCGACACTGGAGGAGGTGATAGAATCGCAGTTTAAAGTCTCCACGTTCTGGCTTGTCAGGGTCTGCACGGGGGCAGTAGACATTAATGACTGTCAAGGTGGTCTCCTGGTCCTCTGATGTGCTGTAGCCAAGAAGGAAACACATACACGTCACAGAGTTTCTGTTGCTAAGCGCCAAGCTCCTTCTATGGCGGACACGGTCCTTCAGATATTTGCACTACAGCTCCCATCATCTCTTACTATCAGTCATGCTGGCTAAGGCTTCTGGAACCCAAAGCCAAACAAACTCTGGAGGGACACAGGTTCTCCATCCTTGCTCTGTGCTAATGGTTGCCAACCTTGGACTGCAGTTCCTAGAAGCCTTCACCAACCATGCTGGCTGGGGTTTCTGGGAGTTGCAGTCCAAGAACACCTGGGTCACCCTAGGTTGGGAACCACTACTCTATGCCATCTCCTGGTTTATGAATGAATGCACTGCTATGGATTAAAAAAAGAAAAAATCTTCACTCCAAAGTTGGGCAGTTCCCCTATGAGGCTCAAAATACATGGTTTAAACTAGACAGAACACTAGTTAAGAAGAGAGATAGCAGCCTACCTGTAGCTATAAATAATCTGCATATTTTAAAATTGTGCACAGGTGTAGTTGTAGCATACAAATCAAAATCTATTACCTGATCAAAATCCCAGTAATCACTGGTGTTAAAGATCTGGAAAGGCCTGTCTATAAAAATACATGTTTTTAACAATCACTTAAAAATCCCCAGTTAAGCGTCCAGATGGATTTTGGGTGGGAGGCTGTTCCAAAGTTGGGAAGCAGCCTCCGAGAAGGCCCAATTTCTAGTCCTCACTTTCCGGGCCTCTCTTGGGGTCAATACTCTCAATCATCCTGGGAGGATTGTGTAGGATGGACAGATCTAATCGGGAGGAGGCGTTCTGCCAGGTATCGAGGTCTCAAACTGTTTAGGACTATAAAAGGGTTTATTCTTTTCCTGAGCCCGTTGGAAAGACTAAAACTGTCCATTCTAAAGGACTAAGACCTGGTATTATGGGACGTATTTTCTCTTCACAAGACCTTTCGTCTCCTCCCCCTCTAGCACTCCCGGCTAATCTCTTTCTTGGTACTTTGTAAGCAAACGCGCCTTCTTTAACTAAATCAGTGGTTCTTAACCTTTTTGAAAGAAACGCCCCCTTGAGCCATTGATGAAGTTATCATTGCCTCCCTCCCCGCAGTGATTATTTATTTATTTATTTATTTATTTATTTATTTATTTATTTATTTATTTATTTATTTATTTATTTATTTATTTATTTAAGACAGTTAAATCCAATGACCCCTGAAAACAAAATTCAATTCCACGAAAATGAAATGCCCCCAAAAAGTAACATTTAATGATTTAGTTGCAAGCGAATTTTAAGACGCAAAAAGAAATATAAAAAGGGCATAAAAACAAACCGCAATGCAGTTTTTCAAGACAAAAACTCTGAAACTAAATTAAGATTGGAGGAAAATATATATTCATGCACACTATAAAAAGGCTGCAGCCATCTTCACAGGTTTGGCTTGCTCCAGTGGCCCCCTACCGCCCCCCTTCTGCTCCAGTGCTCCCACACCGCCCCTTTTCATTCTACCGCCCCCCTGAAAATGAAATCGTCCCCTGGACCTTTTCTGTATCTGTAGATGTGTTTCCTTCCTCTGTTGTTAAAAACACATCCACTCTCTCTCGGTCATCCCTACGATACCCCGTCTTGCCTTTCTCTCCCTCTCCTAACTGCCTTAACAGTTCCCTTTTCTCGCGCCTCCCTCTCCTTTCCCTTGCTCCTCGCTCTTCTGCGCACCACAGTTCCCTTTCCTCATGCCTCCCTATTCCTTCCCCTGTCTCTCGTTCTTCCACGCACTTTGTCTCTTGACTCTCCTTGCATCTCTCTTTCCCTCTGTCTCTTGTTCTTCCATGCGGTTTCTCTTCCGCCTCACGTACATCGCTTGTTAAATCTTTTCCCTGTTCTACTTCAGTCTCCTTTCCTGCTGTTATTATTCCTCTCTTCTGCTCTGAGTCCTCAGACGGCTCACTCTCTGCTCTGACATCACAAGGGCCTCATAGGTTAACACCATCACCTTGCAGGTGGCATGGAAACGCACAGTGTAAGACAGCCAGAGTAGAAGAAATATGTTGATATTTCTTTACACCACTCAGTAGTCTGGCCACTATGTTCTGGACCTGCTGAAATTTCCACAGCAGCCCCACGTAGACAGCATTGCAGCAATCTACTCGCGAGACTACCAATGCATGGACCAGCGTGGTGAGGGACCCGGTGTCAAGGATTAGTGATTGAACCAAAGGATATTAATTCTTTAACATATTCAATTTCTTCTTTCTCAATATTAAAGTTGTGTAGTTCTTCTGTAGTCATAATTTTATTTATTTATTTATTTATTTATTTATTTATTTATTTATTTATTTGATTTATACCTCAC